GAAAAATAAACGGAACAGTTTATTCCCGAAGAGTCGATGACTTCGACTAGTCTGTAAAAGTTATTTTGTTGGATGGAAATAGTGTTCTTTAAATATTTACGAGTGTTCCGTGAAACTGCGTGTAAAAATACAAAATCCTATAGCGTAAGAAGCACTTTAAAGCGGAGTTCAGCGACCTATAACAAGAGACCACTCAAGAACACGGGCACGTAATGAAGAGACGTCCGGAAGTTCGTCTTATCGACGCGTCGGATGTCGAAAGTTTCAGCATAGTTCGTGAAAAATCGCGTGTATGGTTGTTCGAAATTTGATGAATCGCCATACAGCGTATAATAACTTTTGGCAAACGGTTTTTTAGATTTATCGAAACGAGAGCAACCCGATTGTCGGGTTTAATGAATCGCCATTCAGTGTATAACGACTTCCGACAACCGAATTTTTGAATTTACTAAAACACGAGCAACCTGATTGTCCGGTTTAACGAATTACCATTCATCGTGTAACAACTTTTGCCCGATGGGCTTTTCGATTCGTTGAAGCGGAAACATTAACGCGATTGATATTTAGATATTGATTTTAAACCACCGGCAACATTGGTAAGCCCCGACGGGGAATGATTTTCAAGGTAGCAAAAGAATGTTTCCAAAGCGAGCGATATATTTATCAGAAACGAAGGGACCAACATTCCGTGGATTAAAACCGTTCTTCCTGCGCTGCTCGATTTATCAAGCTCAAGCTGACAAATTGCTATTTACGACGTATCGTAGCTTTTTATCAATTTTAAATCATTAAATTTATTAGAAGCCTCGAAAAAGAGCGAGCCTTTGTAAACGTCGACGGTCGCTCGAACAAAGGGCGAAACGCTTGTTAGCGTCGCGTTCGTTTAATCCGCTAATATTCATCGCGGCGCGTAATAGCCTCCTTCGAGCAACACCCACGCTAAATAATCCAATCGATGATCGGCTAATAATAAATTTGAACGAGCTGCAGTCCCTAATGAGACGCTGCGATGCTTCCTCTAAATTATGCACCGTGCAAGAGGAGTAGACCGGCGTGAAACGGGCGAGAACGACGTCCGATAATTTTCGACGCTCGTGCAGCAACACGGACGAAACGATAATGCACAGGGTGTTAACAAATTATCGCCGTAAATGTCACGGGTAAATAAAACTCCCTAAAAGAAACAACCATGAACGGAAATGTTAAGTTACGACATTGAAATTCAAATATTCCCTAAACAGATTATCTTTTTACGTAAATGGGTTAATACTTTTTCGCGAAGAATACTAAAGTGTTTCGAGTGACCTAAAAAAAAAACTAGCATCATCGAAATGTGCTCTCTCTTAAGGATTAAGATCATTGTAAAAACCTGAAATAAAGCTTTTTTTGGCGATTTTTTTTTGATGGATGGAAAATGTAAGAGGATAATGATATTCAAGAATATTATTAACCATGTTGTTAAGTGTTAAAACAAAAACATATTTATTTAAAAATAGTGGAAAATGACGACGCTGGAGCCATTCTCGCGAGGCGTGTTGAATTTGAGGCACTATATTTGAATAAATATTCTTTTTATAAACACTCAACGACATGGTTGATAACATTCTTGAATATTATTATCCTCTTATTTCTCCAATCCAACAAAAAAAATCGCCAAAAAAAGCTTTATTTCAGGTATTTACAGTGGTTCTACCCCTTAAGACCGTTCGACTTCGTCTGAAGTATTTTACGCTACGCGTAACAATACGACGTAAACGTAGATGGGAATATTATGGTAACCCGCCCTGTGCAAGGAACGTGCAAACAGCTCGAAACAAAATGAAACTAAAAATCGGATGATTTATACGTGACTTCTTAGACGCATCTCCAAACAACGTGCAAACAGTTTAACACCATGTCGCGTCGGGGCGCGAGTCTGGACGATCGGAGGCTTTCCATCTGGCCAGTAATTCGGTCCTTTGTAGGCTGGCCGTCAGATTATTAACTATCATCGGACGGTAAATGTAGCGTGGCGCTGGACGATCAATAATTCATGCGCGACGAAGTTGCTGGCGCTCGAAAAGGATTAATTCGGGCATACGACCCTCGAGTGGCCATCGTGGTCCTCTGTGCTCGATGGCGTAGTGGCTCTTCGGTGCCATTGTCGGCTTTGCCAGTCTCCTATCATCCAGCCTCCACCCTCTCCCCCTTCTTCTCGATCGACGAACTCCGTCCGTATTTATAAAGTTTCCCTCGTCGAGGGAAGATGACTCGAGTGGCCGCGTCGTAGGCGTCGTTCTCGGTAAACGCGCGGACGGAAGATTCGAGGAAGAGCATTGAAAGGCACGATGAAAACTTCTTAATTCCAGACGTGCTCCAGTTTCCAGGCACCGACGGGGGAGGAGGGGGTGGCGTTCGTCGACGGGAAAACCGGCCCTTTCAGTCGCTTAGACCGCTGGCCGCGGCGTTATTACGACCCGGGAAGAGAAAAGTTCCGCTTCACACTCAACCGGGTATTAATGGGGCTGACCCCGTCGGCCTCTCCGTTAACATTCCAGATTGGGTTCTATTTGGGTGCGTGGAACCACGCCTTAGGTCCTATTACACCAACTTTTCCAGGTTTACATAGTTTTCTCACATTGGTCCACATTTGTAATTCTTATTACACCGTCTATCTTCTTATTCCTCTTTCTCTAATTGTTTTCTTGCGAGCACACGTTCTTTTCTTACTCTTGCATCTGTACATTTGTAACAAAAATGATACGTACAAACGAAGAGTAAGAATATAAAATACAGTGTTGGATGACCAACACGACCATACAAACACCACTCAATCACATCACAAACATTATCCTTCCTGAATCACACTGTCCCTTGACCATCGTTTCTACCTCTACCTATCTCCAGCAACAACATATAAAAGCTTGCAATATTGAAGAACGAGAAGAAAGAGTCTAGTATTTAATCTTCTTAAATAAAGTGTTGTCAATTCTACTGAAATCCAACAACAGTACTCCCTCGCTAATGTTCGCTGAACGAGGAAGTTATCGAGGGTGTATTTTTTTCCAATACGATTAAACTAATTTCACAGTTATAGATGGGAAGATATGAAAATGGTATTTTTGTTCTTTCGGTGGTTCGTTCTCAGATAACTGCTGGGGATGAATCCGCGAACAATATCGAGGAGAAAAGTGGCGAACATTAGCGATGGACCGTCGGGGTGTAGTCATTAAAAAATTCCTCCCCTTTAAGAACGCCAGTCGTGCCGGGAGACGATAAATGCGACGCCACCCACTCGTAATCGGGGAAACGGGCTTGCCCCGGGACGACGTTCGGCGTGGATTTATTTCGATGGCCGCGAAAAACAGGGAATGAATAGAAACGTATCGCGTGACTATGATTTTATTACCTATCCAACCGGCCACTTCCGGGTAATTTAACCGTGAAACCGTCCCGAGTCGAGCGAGGAAATTTTATCGTTCCACGAACGACTTTCACTTATTACGAGCGCCGTCGTAATTAACCCCCTAACTGATGGGGTGGAATCGAACGATCGTTAATTTCTCAACGGTGCATATACGAGTACAGTCTTACGTTTGTAACAATACGACGAAACTGCATGCTCGAGTCGAATCGCTAATCTCTGTAGCGATACAGCAATGATTCTTAAACTGAACCTCAGACGTGATTCGAGAATCGAACATTTCTATTCTGAAGCCAGTGAGGCGTGAATCGCTGGTGTCGAATTTCACCTCCGCTGTACGAAAGATGAACGTGCCAACCCCGGATCGATGTTCATTTTGAGAATCATTACTATAAAACCACCATGAGAGGTTATATTCCTTTTTTAAGATGATTTCGTATAAATTCATTAATATTCTCAGTCGTTGTACGTGGGTTTCTCAACCAACGCAACCGCGAGGGTTGCTCACTGTAAAAGTTATCGTTTTCATAACTCATCCCGCTGAAAGAGGGTGGTTCAATGCCAGGGGTTGACCGAGCAATGGAAATATGTCCCTGTTACGAGAGGATTAGCGAGGATTAGCTGAAAGATTTAGAATCGTCTCTCGCGCTCGACGCTCGCTAAACGTCTAATCCGAAAATATGATCATCTTTCTTCAGGATTCCCAAGACGCTACTTCCCTAGATATAAAACATAAATAATGAAAACGCGGCCTGAAACTTTGTGATATACCACGCCGTGGAATGATCCTTTATTACATTTTGTCAAGTTTCACACCGGAAACCTGCTATTGCGATAAACGCGGAGGAATCTAGCGTTCCGTTGGAAACGAATGGAAACTTTACCTTAAGATTTTCGTGAAATTGTCTTATCTCGAAGGAAATACATAAACCGCGGAATTCTCTTCATAGTTCTCGTTGAAATACTTCAGAATTCTGTTGTTAACTTCGTATTTAAGGGACGAGTAAAATTCATATCCGGACGAAAGTTTCGAACAACGAATAAAATATACGCAACCCTGCGTCCATTATTCGTTAAATAATAATGAAAATTTTTATTTTCGAATGAATTTATATTTCGCGCCTGTAAATAAAATTTAAATACTTTGCCCCCCCCCCTCGTGGCTATTTCGTTCTGCATTTAAATAGGAATATAAGGGGATTGCGTTATTTAGTTTTAAACTCGTTCATCAGCGTTTCTCGGCGTTAACTTTCGCCATGTGTTGTGCACCGTCGCTAATCCGAATGCTTAAGAATTATTCCGAAATTCAAATACAGGGAAACGCAACGAAAGATACGTTTCCGCTACATAGCTTCACCATTAGTTTACGGTTCCCAAGGGCGTTGCGAAGGGTTGCGTATGCCGCTTATAAGGCCCTGTAACAGGGAGTTGGGTAATGTCGCGTTCTACGAAGGGCTGTCGGCGCCAAGTTATAATTGCTATATGTTAACCGAAAGGTTAGGTGGGTAACTACCATGTTTTTTTTTCAACCAAAATTATTTATTCAACAGTAATATTTCATATACATATACCGAGAACAAAAATTTGTTCGCTTCTCGATGACATATTAAATACGCATGTACTTCATTGTGTTTCTTTTTAAATAATTGTTACTCTATAGAAAATGGAACATCCTTTATACCCAAATTGGCGTTAAATACACATAATCTTTCCAACCATTCCACCCAAAACCTTTGCAACACATCGCCGTACAAATGATGAACGGTTGCAGGATAACCGTCTAAGTAACCGACCACAACGTATCCCCTATCGATCTGTAAACGCATTCATGATGCCGTTCATCGTTATATTATTTACATCTAATTAACAGATTGTCGGGTGGCTGAATAATTAAATTCAACGAGAGAATAAATTTGATCGTAGTAATTACCACGTATGGATTTAAATTGGAAGCGTTCACAGCACCAATTGAAGCAGCTAGTTTCACGGGTGCATCGTGCAGCATATATAACTTTGTCTTCCTATTATACGCTGTTATCCATTGGAATATGCTCAATCTACCTCTAAATACGTTTTTAAAAATAACAGATTAAAAAACACTGAAATCAAAGGATACTGTATCACAAGCAAACACAATGAGTTTCCCTTATGATGGAAAGGATAATTTCTGTTTTACCTATACCAAGCAATGCAGTGAATGTTCGCATGGTACTGGAAATTCGGATGCCTTACAATAAAATTAGTTTCTTGAATAGATTTTAGCTTATTCAAAAAAGGTTTCAGGCTCATATTCGCTAATTTGACTGTATGAGGCATTGCCGTGTCAATTTGTTTTTGCAATAAATACTGTGCTATACAGAAGTTAAGTAGTTTACGATTATTTGATGCCTCTAAAGAAATAGCAAAGGAACATGTATAAATAACCAGATCGAATCGGTTGGTCGTAAATTAAGCTAATATAACACCTTTACAATCTGTCTTGTAGTGATGCCAACTTACCCTCCTTATCGTTCTTTATTTCCTCATTTTCGAGAGCATCTGTCTCGTAGTGATGCCTCCTTATCGTTTCTTCTTTTCTCATTTTTGTAAGCATTTTTCTTCCAAAGGGAAGGGTTTGATTAAGAATATTGGATACGAACAGTTCATGTATATCATATTTTTCTTTATATCTTATACGAAGATTCTTATACGTATCTGAAGGCATGATAGGAAATGAAATTATATTATCCAGTGTATTGTTTGAAATTACACATTGACTATTGTTTGTACTTTGGCACAGACTTTCTACTAATGTATTTTGTAATTCTGTGTCACCAAGTTTATTACTTGTATCGGTTTCGTTATCTGTAACTTTGTCATTTTTCACATCCTTTGTCTTGGGTGTATGAAAATATTTTATTTCACTTGCCTTTGATACATTCAATATTTGTGAATGTTCTGTAGATTGGTCTTTACTTTTTGTTTGCTCGGGCATCGATTGTACATATTTTTCTTCCGTTTCGTTTATTAATTTCTCAAACAGCCTATTGTCTGCAATAACTCTATCTGGTATCTTGTTCCTTTCCTTAGGATCTTGCTTGTTCGCTTTATTAATGTCTTCACAATGTTTTGATGTCTTCTGGTTTGATACACTTTCTGTTTTATCACTTTCAGTATGTAATACGTCTATATTGATTTCTCTAGTATCATTGTTTGACGATATTGTATTTCCTGTTTTGGATTTTATCTTCTGAAGTATAACACTTGCTAGTGACACATTTCGAACACATGGTGAACGTATACTGTTTATATAAAATCCAGAAGGAAATAATAAACTGGTGGAGTATATGTTACAAAACATAATAATTTAAACTGTCAAGATTTCTAAAAATGATCAGATCAATTTGTTTAATCGATTAATAGATAATCAACGTATCTTTGAAATAAATTTATTAAAAAACCGCAATTACGAATTTAACTTGAAAGATAGTTAAGACAATGTTCAACATAACCTAAAAACCTTACACAATACATACTTGACTATATCGCGCCATCCTTCGAGCATTTCTAAACTACACAGTTTCTACATTCGTTTAAACCGATAACACAATTTAACGTTTGAAAATAAAGTTGAAACTATTTAACAAATGACGCAAAAATTTAATTTTCTTCTTTACATTTTCAAACGAATACTTTTAACTGTATTTTCTTCCGAATGCAAATAAATTGTTAGAAAGCGAAGACTTAGTCGATCAATAGTAAACGAAAGAAATTTATCGGTAGAGCGATATACAGTGATATTGTAAGCGAAAATTCTAAACATTTTCAATGTATTCTATTTGTTTGTATTATAAAATATACAGCTGATACCCACCAATAAATCTTGTACAGACATATTTTTTAACGTTTCAATTCTTAACCGATCGAGCAAAGTCAATATCGAACAGTTCGCAAACTCCAATATGGATACGGTTTTCAAACAGTGTGCGAACAGTTCTGAACATTCTGAACTTACCATAAAAGATAATCCAGGCTTTGCAAACATGTTTCGATACTATTTTCCACTTTTCCGAAGCTTCTGCCCTTGTTGCCGTATCATCGTCCTAGCGTAGCATGCTAATATAATACATCTGTACTGCTCAAAGTTTCGATGAACACTGACGCCATATTGGTTTTAACATTCACAACCAATATGGCGGTTTAACCCTATATTTTAAAAGTACTCAAATAATACTCATTCTATTTCTATTCAAAATTAAAATGTTTCATGAAATTTTTGTAGTACGTTTAGCTCCTGATAGTTATAAAAATATGTTCTCAGTAATATTCGATTGGTTATAGTTATATGTAGTTGTTAAATAAAACTACTTTGTATATAATCATAATGAAATAATTGATAAAAACTCATTTCTCTTAAATGCAAGTGCAATGCATTATGGCGCAAAACTAATAATTTGAAATACGATTTTCAAAAACAACTTTGTTTTTTGGATCTATAGAAACCCCATTACGTTCTATGCAAATATAACACATGTTAAGATGGAAGTACGTAGTGTATTTAACTATTTGTCCGTGACTGTATATGTAGGTAATTGTGATCAGTATACTTTATTAAGAAGAACTATCACAGATCCCAAAAGGCTACACATCACTATGGTCAATGAACGTAAAACGTGTCAGTAATTTATCAGGCTTTAGGCGGCTCGGCTCGTTCCAGCGCGTGATCGCAATTTCGAAGTTAGCCGCTTATCAGCTATCGACTGTCGATCTAACGATCAAATGTGGGGTGCAACCCAATAATCGGTAATCGTTGCACAATAACCCCCTTTGCCATATTTGTGCCTTTCCCAACGAGCGTTTAGCAATAACCACGATTTAATTCGCAAGAAATTTATTCACCAGCTTTGATTGCGTTCTATTATATAATAGTGATATTAACGTTTACTTTTTCATCGGCGTCGTTTGCCAAGTCTAGATCGGCGTTTATGGCCCGTGGATCCTCAGGGGTCCACGTATCCGTTAGCAGGGGTGTCCTCAAACTTTCAGAGGAAAAGAGAAACACATTATTTCTCAAATAAAATGATCTCTCCTGTCTCTCGGTCCAGTAATAAAGGGGTTTTCGTTTAATGAAAAATACTACTGCGTCACCGATCGCGAAAGTATCCCGTGAATCATTTTTTCCGGCACACTGATTCAGTAGGTAATCGACAACGAATTCGAACAAAATGTGTAAATAATAGTGGAACGATATGTTTGAAAAAACACAGTATTACATCATTAATTGCTAACGAGTTCAACGGATTAACTCGCGCGTAAAATCATTTTGTCTTTTACGCTGTTCCCAGAGTGTAATCGAGGATGGGATCAAACGGTAAAAGCATACGTGTATTCATGCTTGAAATTATAAATCTATACAATAATAAGATAAAGAATAAAATTTCTCCCCTCTTTCCTGCGAATATATTCCAACAACGGAATGTAGTTTCTAATAACAATTTCTATAAATATTGAAACGTCTACGCGTTCTGGGGATTCTAAACGAAAATGGCGTCCGTTTGCTACGAAGATATCGGCGCTTATGGGTGGGAGCCGAGTGACCCAGTGCTGCTGGACGAGGAAGTGCGTCGCAAACGGTACGTAAAAATGCGGATTCGTATTTTTACGTAACGCTGCAACCGAAAACCGTCCCCTAACGGTGAAAGTTTCGCTATGAAATTCGAGATGCGCGTAGAACAGTGACGAGATCACGGCTCCCCTCTCGCCCGACGTCGAAATCTCCGCGATGCGACGTCACGGCGGGATGAGCGACCCGGATGGCGGATCGAAAAAATCCTTTCCGCAAGAATACGGGAAGATCGACGGGGACACCTCGGCTTTCGACGTATCCCGATACCATCGATGGCTAACCACGAATACGATACAGGTCAGCCGGCGACGCGAAACCACGTGTCAGCGAATCAGAAAAACAGAAACGAAGACGTAACACTTAGGAACGTCCTCGTTTAGAAATTTCGTACGCGTAAGGGATTTTCGCGGGCCGTTTCTTCATCGTGTATGCCGTTTTTTTTTATTTCGATTTCAAAATCAGGAAAAAGACAAACAACACCCGTTGCTTTGGACGCGAATAACGATTTCGTTTCCTATCTATCGTTAATCTTCACGATTGACCTGTTTCTTTTCCAACCCGCTCGACGGGCCCCCGTCGTATTCGATATCCTCGCGTGATCTCGTAACAAACAGAAAATGAAGTATATTTGCGACAAGAACGACGCAGGTAGTACTGCTTTTAGAAAGGTGCGTAAACCCTGCGATTGTGTGACACGAACACACGCGCGATCCGTTTTGCCGCAAGAAAAGACTCCGGGTAGTATAAAAGGGGGTGTATTCTGTAGTTACTGCATCAGTTTCATTCGTGAACCGTACATCGCTGCATTAACAACCATGAAATTCGTAGTAAGTGGCCTCGGTCTGTCTAAACTTGTACTTGTGCTCGACTGCACCGTGACTCCATTTTTGCTTGACTTTTGTCGGTAATTCTTCGACAATAGCAATATGTAATATACCATATCGATATTAGAATTGTGCTCGTTGCACGTAATTGTTCCTCGAGAGAACCTCTAACAGAACGTACTTTGACTAATTCAATATAATTTTCTCGTTATAAATTGTACAAGGCAGTTACGGCGTTAACGACGAATAACGAAAGGAGTGACTGTTAATATTTTCTTCTTAGATCGCTATCGTTGTCGTGGCCCTGGCGTGCCCCATCTACGGCCAGGAAGAGAAGAATATCGAGAAAAGAGGAATCAGTTACGGATTGAGTTCTGGAGGCGGTTATGGCGGCGGTTATGGCGGCGGTCATGGCAGCTATGGAGGAGGTAACGTAACAAACATTTTCAACGCCTGCAAAGGTTTCTTTTGTTTCCTCTATCTTTTGTACCGCCATGCCACGAAGCATAGACGGTCACGTGAATTTCATAATATCGGTGCACGAGAGATTCGATTTTTGCCTCAGAATGCAACTCCTTAGCTATGTAACCGAAAGGTGACATAATATGCGGTTGTCTTTAAGTATCTATGACCGTCGTAAACTATAGCGATCGCGACCGACTATCGGGACGATTTTGTTAGAAGCGTTAGTGAAACGTTATTTTAACCACAGGACTGTCGAGTTCCTCCCTTGGAGGCGGAAGCTACGGTGGAATTTCCGGAGGGCACAGCGTAGGATACAGTAGTGGAGTTTCTGGAGGATACGGTGGGCACAGTCTAGGAGGCTCTGGAGGATACGGTGGTGGAATTTCCGGAGGATACGGTGGTGGACTTTCCAGCGGATACGGCAGACATGGATGGTGAAGAAGTATCAATCGATGCTGGCGCGCATTGAACCCAACACAGAGCTTTATTACACAGCACTACTTTTCTAACATATCCAGTGGCTAAATGAGTTTTTATACTGATGTTTCACGTGTGAAATAAATTTTAATACTTTTTAACTGGAGGCTCGATCTCATTTTCCCCGCTATTGAAAATTCCCGCATCGATCAAAACGATCGAAAGGATGTCGATCTTATGTCGTACAAATTCAGAATTTCGAGAAAAAATTCAGTTACACTGTAAGGGTTACAAGCTGCAGCTACAAGTTTTACTAGCTTGTGATGTAGATAGAAATATTTTACGAGTAAAGTCTTCTCCCGTTTCGCGTCGAAAGATATCGAATTTCTTTTCGAAACGCAATAAATTTCTCTATACGTTACGCATCGACAAGTATGAATATGAATAATTATATAACGATATTTCTATTGGGGCAATAGGAAACTTTTCGACGTGCAACGGCACATCACGCAAACGTTTAATGTTTTATTAATGTGATTTAAAAGTATTTCCACAATCGTAATGAACTTACGAATAAGTTTGAAAGGAGAGTGACTGACTTCAAAAGTAGTCTTTTTTTAGAGTCGCTCCTGTGATTTGTTCATTGATTGTTTCTTAATCGTTATTAGTCTATATTCTAAACGCTAGGAGGACGAGTGTCGTATTCTAGGCAAAACCGATAATGTTGGTAGCGACACGGAAATGGTAAGGGCGCCCAAGGGACGCCATTTTGTGTGACACGAAAAATCAGAGTTATATAATTCTATGCTTCCGTGAAACCACGAATAAAGCATAAAACGATCCTTATTTCATGGTATTTTATGGAAATAAATATCACGCAACAATTATTTTACAATGTATTCTTCGAGTAAAGATGGCGAGTCTGAGAACTATGTTCGATCCAATCACCGACGTTGAATAATGTAGAACATTAATATTAATTCCAAGGATTTATATTCTTACGTCAATGGCTTCCTAACATTGTAAGAAACAACTCTTACATCTTCCTATGCTGCTGTTAATTTTGAAGTTTATCAAATAGAAGCATACACTCTGAGTCGATGGACTTATCATTTGTCTTTCTCGCACCTGATCCTTTTTCTCTTCTGCTTCGACTGTCGATCTCCTCTACTATTCTGTATTCCTATTAACATCGAAATATTTCCAACACGAATTGAAAGGTGACACGATATTGATTCGAGCCGTACAGGTTTTTGGTGGTGCCAAAGGGCTGAATGTAAAGCACCTACGCACTCAAATAGAGAAAAACTGATACTGAAACCACAAACCAGGTATACGAGTAGACCTGAAGACGAGTACTAATAGGCGAGAACAAGGCAGTCTTAACTGTTAAGTTTGGCTTTGGCTTTGGCTCTGGCTAGTCTCCCCACCCTTTCATCCCCTTGGACATATAAGCAGGGCCACTGCGAAGAATACTTCAGTCGCGTCGCGAATTCGGGAGTGTACAAGTCGCCAAAAGTGGGCCTGGGACGACTGCTGACCTCCGCTGGCCACTGCAGACCACTACTAGCCAGCGCTGACCACTACTGACCACTACTGACCACTACTGACCAGTTCTGGCTAGCGCTCCTGCCACTACTGACCACTGCTGACCACTACTGACCAGTGCCGGACGGTGATGACCAACGGTAAGAACTGTTCAAAAATTCTCTCTCCTCTTCTATTCTATCGTTTGATACCAATTTCGCTTCAATGACCTGATTTTGCCTTGCTTGTCTAACTGAAGTTGCTATAATATGAATATTTTCTTACTTTACAGCTGGCCCAGTGGTAACTATCCTATGTACTGACAACAAGTAGTAAGTCCACTCCTCTTATTTATATTTTATTATTTTTTTTTATTTGTTTTATGTGAATTCTACTTTATTTATCTATCCGATTTTATTTGGTTATTATGAATGTTCCTTTTCTCTCTTTCTACTTTTACATTGTTTGTCGAATTTATGTTATTGCTTTGATATGTATAATATTGCAGGGATATAATAATGTAATATTGTTTTCAATCATACACTATATTTGTTTCTATACAATTTCGAGAATTTTTATTTCTACGTTCTCGCTCGAATTCTCGTAATATTCTGCGGAGGTACTTTGTTTGATTCTTCCATTTCGTTTGATTGTTTGGTGTTGATTCAACTTGGGGTGTCGATCCAAGTTTCTTTCATTATTACGAATGTTCGTTTTGATATGTATGACATTGGGTCGATGCATGTATCATATTCGTTTCGATGGTACTGATGAGTATAAGAATGTTCGTTTCGATATGTATGACATGTTGTCGATACATATACCATATTTGTTTCGATGACACTGATTAATATAAGATTTTTATTTTTGCCTTTCAGCTTAAATTCTTGTAACAATTTCCAAAATACTCTGTTCAATTTTCTTTAGCTAGGTGATAGATCATTTTTAAGTGTTTATTCAATTTCTTACCATATCTCACTAATATAAATATTAGTTTTGATTTCAGTTCAAATTTGGATTAATCGCAAGGACATCGAGGGAGGACGCCGCAACCGCCGAGGGACTTTTAATTCTAAGATGGTTAGCCTTAAGCTTCGTCGCGAATCTTAAAATTAACGTCGACGATTTCTTTATTATACGTGTCTCCGCGTCTTACCAAGCAATTATTCAATAAGTAGCTTCTCCCTCGCTCGTTCCCTCGTACCTAGCTTCGATCACCGCTGTTTCATCGATTGAAACATGTGATCGGCCGTGTATCTGGTCCGAAAGATCTAATCGCCTTCCCTTGGTAGCTCGATCCAGGGAAAATGGTACTCTGCTGGAAGGTGTGGAGTTTCCGTATCCTGCGGAAACGCATACCTTCCAGCGGAAGTCGACACTGAAACAGAGGTACTCTCTCTTTGTCAGACAACTTGAGTCGGGTCCTTCGGGCTCCCGGCGGGTTGCGTTGGAGCAATGGAGACCTTAGATTCGGAGTCGCAGCCGTCCATTATCCCATAGAGATCTAGTTAGCAAGGGCAGTAGGTTCGATCCTCGGATCCGCTGCACGGTTCAGCGTCGCGTCGCGTCGCTTCGCGTGCCCCTCAAATTAACTTCGTCCCTCTTTTTAACCAAATAATTGCTTGGTACAACTGAATCAGAACATCCAAGGAACTTTGTTTCCTTCTATCGTCCGAATTTTAGTTTCAACTTGACTAGACTTGAGTTTCGACGTTAATTTTAAGTCTCTATTGCGTGCGTCTCCCAATATTGCCAAGTAATTATGTAACAAGTAGCTTCTCTCGACTCGTTCTCTCGTTTTTCGCTTCGATCACCGCTGTTTCATCGATTGAAACAAGTGGTCGGCCGTCCAGTTTGTCCGAAAGATCTAGTCGCCTGCCCATGATGGATCGATTTCTAGAAATAGAAATCAATCTACCAAGGGCAGTGTTGATTCGATCCGAAGATCTGCTGCACGGTTCAGCATCGCGTCGTGTCGCGTATCCCACAATATAGCTTCACCCCTTTTTAAACAAAATAATTACTTGGTACAACTAAACTAGAAGATCGAAGGAACATTGCTTCCTTCTATCTCTCTAGTTTAGTAATCTAGCTAAGCTTAGCTAAAAGGGAGATCGATGGAACTTTGATTCCATCTATCTCCCTTCGGGTCTCCACTCGCAGCAACCTCCTCGTGGTGAGACCTGGTAATCGGTGTCACCCACGATAGAAAAGTTATTCTTCGTAGGTGACACCGAGCTAATGGCTGCGAATTTAGAATTCTGTCTTGATATAATAAACGAATATAGATTTATAGTTAGGCAAGTGTTTGGTTAGCCATTATGTTATGTTACCAACAGATTTAGAAATGAATTGTAATCCCTTCTATAGTCAACTTATATGTATTTACACAAAACTACAGCTCTTTGCCTATCAATACTAATTCAGTGAATAGTTTCTCAATTGACCGCCATCCATGATAAGAGGACGCTAAAATCACCTGAGAATTTTCAGGTCGGTATGGCAGTCAGATTGGGCCACGAAAGCCCATAAGGTGAAAGGTATACCTTGTCCGTGGCCCTATATTAGTCAAACATAGTATAAAAATGGATTTAGTCACGATTTGCAATCACGATGGAGGCTGACGAGACCTTGATGAATTTTCTCGCAACACGGTGGCCATTGATAGCGATTCTCTGGCCTAGAACGGGTGGATAATCGACCAAACGCGCCTTGGTAACGCATTGCACCGCGGCTCGGTTGTTTTCGCAATTACACGTCAGAGGCAGTTCGACTCGCCTAACCGACAGATGCGGATTGCTGCACTGTCAGCCGCGGATAACGCCAACCTCTGCAATTCGCGTAATTCGCGTGCCGCGTAGATTACGTTTTATAATTAAATTCCGGGGGCCCCGGCGATCGGCCCACCCCGTCCGAAACACCGAACGCGCCCGTAATTGGAACGTCCACATGAAGCTGCTCAAGTTTTTGCTTCGTTACTTCCCACCGGGTACCGCGAAAACCGAATCCTCGACCCGGGAATTAACGCGATTACACCACCGTTTCTCGTTTTCAGGCCTGGCCTTGGAGTACACGCAGGGCGGCGTCGTCAAGACGAAGATCATCGATCTCCTGGATCTGACAGTCGAGTAATTACATTTTACAATTCGTCTAATCCTCCTCTATCCTCTTGCACAATTATTTTCTAGCGTTTACGTGGCTACTACCTTCTTTCCATTCATGCTTTAGCTATTTAAATATTAACTTTGCATATATACAGTCTTAGTACCCTCGCTAGGAACACAGTTATCGATCAGCCCAGTTACTGAAATCTACAAAAAAGACAAATTGATTTCCCCTTCCCCCTCTAAACGAACAAATAACCCTTTTCGAAAAATCACGGTACGATCGTTCGGAGAAGAGCGCTGCAACTTGAGCGTCGTTTTGCAGAACGGACGTAAGAGCATTAGCGGAGAGCATAAAGAAGACAGAGCCCGTAATAACCGAAAGTGTAATGGACCAGTTAGTGGAGACCCTGCAGAAGCTGCAAGCCATAGTTTGCGACGCGAACGCCAAGCGTTACTACAGATACAAAACCCTGCAGACCCATCTTCTGCCCCTCACGAACATCGCGTTCGATAAACTAGGTAAAAGGTACTCGCGATTAAGATTCTTCGAGTTCTAAATTTAATTGCAACTGTCCCGCGCAGTGGCTGCACAGTAGGTCCAGGATGGGTGGCCAAACTTTGCAAGTTTGCTCGAAAGACGAACCGAGTCATTTCTAGGAGCTTCTGCTTATTTTGTACAATTAATGTATAGCTTCCACGATACGAGTATCTTTAATTTGAAGATAAATTCTCGTTTAATTTATCAGCATGTTTGGAATTTATGAAAATAAGATTTGTTAAAGTACAACGCCATTCTGAATGCTATTCTCGTGCTCGTGTCTTCTCGTTGCTAGACGTTTGCCACGTTGAATAAACTTTTCCCGCAGATGCCTGACGGGCAGCTACGACCGGACGTGTAAAGTTTGGGACATTGACAGTGGAACGGAGCTTTTTACTCTCGAAGGCCATAAGAATGTGGTCTACGCCGTGTCCTTCAACAACCCAACTTCGTGAGTCTCGTTTATGGCACGAAACAATTTTCTCAAATGGGAATTTTGTTGTTTCTTTCCCCTACAAAATACAAGATAACGCGCGCTAATAAATATTGAGAAGAAGGAGAGTAATATTCAGACTTCCAGAACGAGTTACATATTTAAATTTTTGTTTGTTTAATAATTTTTTCAGAGACAAAATTATAACCGGTTCGTTCGACAAAACTGCTAGGATTTGGTGCTCCCGCACAGGACACTGCTTGACCACCATGTGGGGTCACGATGCCGAGGTCGTTGTCGCTAAATTCTCGCCCACGCATAGCAAAGTGGCCACAGGTTCCCTGGACTCAATGTCTAAAATCTTTCACTTAGGAACAGGTGAATTTTCGCTCAAAAACACGATTACTATTCATAGATACCTTGTCTGTCACCATGGTTCTAGTAGACCAAAGAAGTTTGCTTCGAATACAAAAATTTAATTAAAAAATTGATCATAGCTACAAGTTATAAATCAAAGCTTGTATGATAAATCTGCATTACGATTCGTACGAATGATTAATTTTGAAATTTCAATGGAAACGAATAGGCGACGAAGAGGGGACGTTGAAGGGCCATACAGCGGAAGTAATAGCTCTGCACTTCAACAACGATGGGAATCAAATCATCACAGGCTCCTTCGACGGTACTGTCAGTATCTGGGACACGAGGACATACGCGTACGTGCAAACCCTCGTGTGGTCTTAAAACAATAATTTCTCAGCCAACACTCCGTGTGTCGTTAAGCTCTTGATCGAAATAATTGTAACATAGAAGAACATATTCCCAAACGTTGTGGCGATTTATCGATAGTTCGAGAATCTCCAATAAATCGCTGGGAGTATGTTATCCTATATCCTTTCTTTCAGTCGAACGAGCGTGTTGATCGGCCATCGATCCGAGCTGTCCAATTGCATTTACAACTTCGATTGCTCGTTGATCGCGTCGTCGTCGATAGACAAGACCGCCAAAGTCTGGGACACGAGGATGTATTCCTGTTTGGCCACTCTGCGGGGTCACGACGACGAGGTCCTGGATCTGACCTTCGACAACAATGGGAAAAAGTTGGCAACCGCGAGCAGCGACGGCACGGCGCGCGTTTGGGACGTGACCAGTGCTTTCCAACAGCTGACCATCGCGGAAGGACATCGGGACGAAGTGTCGAAAGGTATTGGAAGGGCAGTCGTTTAAATATTTGATTAAAAAAAAATTAAGATGCGTTCTAATATTACTAAGAAAATATATTACAACTTCCTCGAACGCTGGTACACGTGTGGCGTCGCCTCCCACGCTCGCCACCAGAGGGGTCGCGTTCTCACAAGCGCTCGACCGACCCCTTGGTTGCTGTATATGTATACAATCCTCAACCAACTTACTATGATTCTCACGAGTTTCTAACCGCGAACACCCCTGTGTAATAGACAGTGATTCCTGCTTTCGACAATTTTTTGTACTATTTTAAATAGTATCGTGCTAACCCAAAAATTCGTTTAGTGTGTTTCAGTCCGAACGGTCAACATCTGCTGACTTCCTCGTCGGACAAAACGTCGAAATTGTGGTCCATAGAAGACGGAGGCTGCGTGCAAACGCTCGACGGCCACACCGACGACGTTTTCAGTTGTGCATTTTCGTACAATGGCGATACGGTTATCACGGCGAGCAAAGACAACACTTGCATGATCTGGAGGTGACTCGATTGGTTTCAGGTGTGCCCTTAGCTGCTCGTTGTCGCTTTGTTCGTGTTCTACGTTGTATACTTCTACGCGATTTAAATTATTCCGGGGGGAAAATATTTTTCCAAAAAGCGTCGTCTTTTTAGGAAGCTTGAAAGATTTTCTTCGCGCCAACGCGATCGATTTACAATGTTGAATTTAAATTACGATCCGTGTTCGCATTTTTGCCGCCCAAAGGTTTATAAACTTTAAACGGTTTTGAAAAACGATCGTAATTAATTTGCTCGCGGGATCTTGTTTGAATAATGCATAAAGACGCCCGAATGAATAATGGAGCGCGGCATAAAGCATAGTTTGGAGAAAACTTTGATAGTCAATTTACCCACGCCCGTATTAAACTAAATTTATAGTTAGTCGGAGTGAATGTTTTTTAAAAAATTTCGCACGATGATCGATCTAAAATTTTATAATCGTTACTAAAAAGTGAACGATTTGGAGAACTTTGCACGATCGTGAGATTCTAAATCCGTGAGAAATCTTAATGTTTTGCAACGAAGCGTACTCGACTAATTGCTCGAACCTTTAATTAAAATTCGCCATATAAGAGTCTAGAATTACGTTCTTGCGTCGTTGTGAGAGTAATTAAGTAGCTGTTAGACAATTCAATCCTTCGTGATTCTTGACATTTAGTAAATGAGAAGTCTTTTTCCTTGGAAACAAACATTACTTATGCACGCAGTCGACTAACATCATTTTCGGATTTTCTAAATCATCTTTTTCGGAAGTTTACGTAAGAAACTTGTCAAACGAGCCATCGTTGACTTTGATAATCAGCATCTTTCTCTATTTGAAATTTTCTTCCCACTTTGTCAAACATTGTCTCACACGAGACATTTAATTCTTTAGTATTTAAGCTGCAACTGTTCTTATTACAGATAGTAATGTTTGTAGATTATAAGGTTATAATCACGTTTCTGGTTTATCTCTCGCACACAGTAGCTATCTCTCTTGATAGTTCGAATTTGTACTTTCTAAATGTAATTCGCGTTCCAACATTGGAAACAACGACGAAATGTATCCGAATCCGTCGTATAGTGATTATAGTATGCCTGTACAATAATACTCTGTTGCCTCACCGTAGAAATTCAACACAATAAATTCACAATTTATAATTGCACTCGTGTGTATACCGATAAAAGCGTTGGAAAATGTGCTTGGATTCTGCAATAAAAATAATTGCAGTTTATCATCGTTATTTTGTAATTAAAGCGTTATCTGTCGCTGCTAGACGTTTATCGTTGCAATCGAAACGCGTGAAATGTACAAGATAAGACACGTATAGTTCGCGTATTTATTGTTATTGTTATGGGATTGCAAGGTACTGTGCGAATCAGTTATTAAACGTGATTAGTTGAATAATTACTCCTACTTTAGCGACAGATTGTGAAATAAGATACTTTACGTAATCGTTGATTATTTTATTATTCAGCTACCATTATTTTATACTGATCATTTTAATCCTTTCAAGGAGTATTATCCCAAAGGCAATAAATATACATTTCTCTGTTTATTTACGCAATTATTTAAATGTGAACACTCAACAGCGTGGGAAAATTTGCACAAAAATTTGCACAATTTATCCCAGGAATACTGTATCTATATTTCCAATAAAAATTAAAAGTAAGTTACTTTGAATGGTCGTTTATTGTTTTTAGTTGGACTCCAAACTGTTCCCAGTCCACAGGTTGCCGGCAGAAATGTTTGGAAGACCAACCAAGCACCAGAGGGTACCTTGAAAGTGTCGTTAGCGATTGTATACTTATGCGAACAGCCCCGCTCCACCTGTTCCAGTCGGCGACTTTAGCCAGTTCGTGGAGCACTGTCGGTTCGAGCGCGAGTTAGCGTTAACTCGAAACGCACCGGCTACAGTTACTTAAAAAACCTATTAAATATCGTACGACGCGACATTGATCTCGACAAGTGTAAAGAATCGTGATACTCGCCTTTAAACAACTAGTTTCGCTTAAAGACTCGTGAGGAATCGTGTTTCTGATAAACGATAATCTCTAACGTTTGTTACGAGCAACACCGTCGAAACAGTGAATGAACGTTCCTGCAAAATATCTGTCCGAGATTATGGGGGATTTTACCAATCGATACGATAAATACACGTTTCGAAGTGTCTCTATAATGAAACAGAAGCCTCTGTTCGAGGAATGATGATAAGCGTCTACGATTCTGATAATTCTTACTGTCCACTCGATACACCGATTTCGAAACAGTGTAAAGATTAGACGAGAACGTGTCCACGGGGGTCTTAATTACAGAAAGTCTGGTGCATTACAAGTTTACAATCGATTGTGTACTACTTAGACACACGTCAGTCGTTGAGTAATGACACAGGCGAAATTTAAATTGCGGTGATCGCGATCTCGTACGAGACTTCGACACGAAATCGATTCCCAAATTCAACGCGGCTGCGACGAGGTTGGTAAAAGGGCGTTCGAAAACCGGTTTCAGCGGCCTTCGTTTTTACCGGAGTTACGACACGCTCGATTCTTACCTGGGGAGAGATTTTTCTGAACCGGTAAACAGAGGACTCTTTAACGATTACGTGAATCGTTCGAACAAGGATGGACGAACGGGTCGATTCGATCGCGCTTCGGCGGGACTGGGCGTAAAATTGGCGGGAAAACAGTGAGATTCACGAGTCTTTGAATTATAGGGTGACAGATAACTAATTTTAAAAACAACATTTGGTAAAGATAAATGAGGACAAAATTTCATAAGAAAACAAAGTTTCTTTTTGGGAGTATATAAAAATGATAATCAACTCTACGAATCTAAGTATTGTAAAATAAATATGCACCCAAAAAAATTCAAAAGCTGTAAATAGTCGTCGCTATATGTCCAGGTAATTGAGGTTTCTCAGCCTATGTTTACGATGGCCAGTCGGACAACGAAAACCGTGTCTCTAAACCGCCAATTACGAACGTCTTCGTGGCTGTCGCCCCGTTAATTAGTAGCGGGAGAAAGAACGAGAAGAAACGTCGGCCGACGGACGCGAATTAATTAACGGTGCAATTTCACTCGTGGCGGTCGTGTGATATAATTAAATATCGCCGCGGAAATTTCAGTCGCGTTCGCCTGTCGCCTTAACGAGCACCCTGGAAAACACCGTCGAGGCGTAGGGGCGGTGAAGTTTTCGACGTCGCTCCCGTGGATCCAGCTGAACGCGATAATCCACGATCCACGATAACTTTGGACCTTGATCGGCGAGATTCCTCGCGTGAAATCGGTTGGAAGCACGTGTCTGCGGTAAGAACATTATTCGAATACCCAAACCGATATTTTAAAATAAAAATTTCATTTAGTTTTATAGTTTGGTATTACCACTTGGTACCAGAGACGAAATCATCGACAGTTTTACTTTCTTTCTCGATTGATAACGCTCTGTATATTCTCCAAGTTACTTCTCGCTAATCTTCGTGATTATTAACACTAGATTTACGGCAGCCGTGAATTTGACGGGTGTCTGATTCCATATTTAAAATTACAGAACGCGTAAATATTATTTTTTAACAACTTATGTTGAATTTGATTAGAATACATATTCTAATTAAAAGAAAAATCGTATTGCAAGGTAATCGTCGACATGAAAGGTGTCAAGAAATATACGTGCGACCAATGCCCGTAAATCGAGTGTTAAGAAAGAAGCTGAGTCGATGGAAAGTTTAAATTTATTCCGAGAGTTTCGACAAAGCATAATCGTCAAACAAACACCGTAGAGCATTCGAGAACGATTTTGTAACAATCGTTCAACAAGAGTGTCAAGTTTACAGTGATGCAATTCCGCGATAACGAACCTTGCGTAACGCGAAATATTCGCACTCGTTTCATCAGTCGGTTAATTTTCGCGGAGCAGCGAACGTTGCTAGCGCGAGGTGAATAAAATTTCGTCTTTATCGCGGAATTATACGAGCACGCGTTTCGAGCTAGTTTAATTAACGATACGATAAAGGAACGGTTCATATTTTGTTCCGCGAGCGAACGAAAGTCCGATCTAAAATTCGAACGATACAAATTCCAGCGTTAAAGGCTTGAAACGAAAGAGCCACCCCCGCTCCTCCTTCGGAGGGGAGTGGAAGGCGAGACGCCGGAAAAATGTACGACAGTCGTTCGTGGGAGTAAATCTGGTTTACTGTGCCAGGGGGAGAAAGAAAAAAAATGTCGAAACGAATGTACCATGTGTCACGATTTACGGGAAATTAAAACAAATGTCTCAAGTGCTCGCCACGTGCACCTGCGCGGATTATGGCCCGTCTGAACGCCAGGTTTCCCCCTTGTTCGTGACGCGTCAGCGTGGGTGGTACCGAGAGACTCGAAAATAACGAAAAGGTTCTTTAAACAATCCCGTCGAAATGACACGGAATCCAATTAGCACCGCGTTTTTGCCTCGCCTTAAGAACAGTCAGGGAACAATAAACAGCTTGGTACAAAGAAACCTGGAAAATACCGTTTGTTTACTGTCAAAGAAAGAACGCGGGACCACTTTAATTGCGATTCTAAATTTTAAATAGGAGCAGTTCCGTTTGCTTTTATTTAGAAAGAAAAAAAAAATATTGAAGTACGATTTGATACAAAGGCGAAGAAAGTCTGGAATGTTTTGGTAGAAACTGTGTCTCGAATATGTCGAAATATCGTGGTGAAAAATATGTAGCATCGGTAACGAATAAATAACGGAAGTTCGGAGTAATTGGGTACGCCGGGTAATCGGAATTAAGCAGCGCTCTGGCGGAAACTCCAATTCGAAAACCTTTTAAAACGTAACGTCGGTGTCGCGCTTGATATTTTCCGCGGCGCGTGTTCCACGCACGCAATCGTAAAAAAAAAAAAAAAATATCAGAACGCAAGGATACGAGTGCAACGGGCGGCGATAAATAAAGTGTCCTGTCAGCAAGGCGCGCATGCTGCTCCTGCGGATCGAATGGCGTTCCACGTTCGCGATAAAGCACGAA